TTAAAGCTTAACAGTAAAATCACACAATGTGTGTTTGTAGGATATGGTAATGAGAAATTTAGCTACAAGATATAAGATCTAGTGAAAAAAAAAAGATGATCAGAAGCAAAAATGTGGTCTTCCATAAAAAAGTAATCATAACAGACCTCAAAAAAAATAAAAAAACTACATGAGTTACTGTTAAGTGTAATGTTTCAACACCAACAAGGGTTCCATAGGAAAGAGCCACAAAAGGTGAAAATGAGCAAAAAATAAGACTTAGGGATATAAATGAGCCAGCCACAATTAATGATGAGCTAGATGCATTCAATTTTGAACAAAGAGAGCAATCATCTCTACCTAAAAGTGTTGAACAGGGTGAGCAGTACTTTCTACCAGAGAGTGTTGAGTAAGAAGAGTTACCTTCAGCATCAGATGGTATAAAGTCTCAGCCTAAGAGATCTACTGAAGAGCACAGGCCATCTACTAGGTATTCAAGTTTAGATTTTATTTTAGTTACTAGAAAGAGAAAGCCAGAGAGCTTTCAAGATGTGTAGGCTACTCCAAATAAAAAGCACTGGTTAAAAGTAATGAAAGAAGTGATTAAGTCATTACAGAAAAATGATACATATGATCTTGTTAAACTTTCAAAAAGAAAGAGACCGTTGAAAAATAAATGGGTGTTTAAGTTTAAAAAATATAGTGACAAACTAGTGAGGTATAAAGCTCGATTGGTAATAAAAGATTTTTTTCAGACTAGTATCAATTTTGATAAGATCTTCTCTCCAATTATGAATATGAGTTTCATTCGAGTGGTACTAAGATTAGCAGCTAGTTTGAATCTTGAGCTTAAGCAACTTGATGTTAAGACTGCATTATTGTATGGTGACTTATAGAAAAATATTTATATGAATCAGCTTGAGGGTTTTGAAGTAAAAAGGAAAGAGCACTTAATTTACAAATTGAAAAAAAGCTTGTATGACTTGAAACAAGTCCCCTAACAGTGGTACAAAAAGTTTGATTCTTTTATAGTGAGCCATAACTATAAAAAAAGATAGTAGATCCTTATGTGCATGTCAAAAAGTTTTCTGATGGCAACTTCATTATTCTCTTATTATATGTTAATGACATATTGATTGTGGGACAAGATGCTGGTATGGTTAGCAAGTTAAAAGAATAATTATCTAAGTCCTTTAACATGAAAAATTTAGGTCTAGCAAAGTAGATTCTCAGTATAGACATTATCTAGAATAAAAAAGTTAGAAAGTTATAGTTGTCACAGAAAAAATACGTTGAATGGGTGCTTAGTAGATTCAACATGCAACATGCTAAATCAGTTAGTAGTCCACTTACAACTATTTTCATCTGAGTAAAAAATCTTATTTGATGACTAAAAAAAAAGAACTAGCTATGTTTAATATCCTTATTCTTCTGCAATCGGTTTTTTAATGTATTTTATGATTTATACCCAACCTAACATTGCTCATGTAGTTGGTGTAGTGAGCAGATTTCTTTCTAATTTGAAAAAGTTTCATAAGAAGCAATGAAATGAATTTTCAGATATTTGAGGGACACTTCAAAAATGTGCTTAAGTTATAAAGTTTTACAACTAGTTGTAGAAGGGTTTACTAATACTAATAAGGGAGGTGATCTTGATGGTAGAAAATATACTTTAAGATATTTGTTCACTTTTATAAAAAAAAAAAAAAAAACTATTTCTTGACAGTCTAAGTTGCAGAAGTATGTTGCCTTATCAATTATAAAGACTGAGTTTATTGCAACAATTGAAAACGTAAAGAAATGCTTTATATGAAATGTTTTCTTCTTGAATTAGGATTGAATCAAAAAGAATATGTAGTGTTTTGTGATAGCTAGAGTGTTTTAGATTTAAGTAAGAATGCCATATAACATACTAGAACGAAGCACATTGATGTTAGATATCACTGATTATGTTTAGTGATTGAGGAACAACGGATGCTGTTAAAAAAAATCTATACTGACGAGAATGTAACAGATATGTTAACTAAGATATTTCCTAGGGAAAAGCTTAAGCTTTGCAGTAATTTGGCTAAAATGGGTTCCTTGGCCAAGGTAAGTTCCAAATGAAACTGCTACAGTGATGAATCTCCTCCTCATGAGGGTAGAAAAGAGATTGTTAAGAAGAATGGGGTCTAACCTTATTGGTTTTGGCCAATTAAAAGGCCTAAAGCTTTTGTTTTTTTAACTTAAGAGAGCTCTACTTATATAAAGTCTTAAATAATAAAATGAGGGTTGTGTAATAGAAAAACAGAAAGTAGTGTCATCAAAACCAAAAAAAAAGAAAAAAAGCCAGAAAAAATAGAGAAAAAAGCAAGAAAGGAGAGTTGGTTGAACAGAAGTAAATCCATCATCCAATTGAACTGAATTTTGTCAACAGGTTTATGATTCAGAGTTTTACATTCTAAACAGTAAAGATCGAGTTTAAAGCTATCTAGGAACAAATTCAATGTATATTTGTTGAGTCACCTATTTGGTGAGATATCTCCAATTCTCTCTAGTTGTTGATTAGCTCTAGTTTTAGCTAAAGAAAAACTTTGTATATCCATTATTTGATAGTAAAAATTTTTCTAGTGATCCGTAATTTTTCTCCTCTACATTGAAAGATTTTTTATGTAAATCTTGATGTACTTTTTTTTTTACATTTTTTATTGTTGATTGTTGTCATTACTATGAATTTATTGTGATATATTACATATGTGTTGTTGTGTTTATTACTTCAAGCCCAACAAAAATTGGGTTCAGTTTCTTACTTTCTTTCTTCCACCCTCAGCAACCAGTCGCTTTTGTATAAATAATTAAGCTGTCAATCTATACAGAACATAATTTGAAAGTTCATTTTGTCCCATTTGAGAAGTTTATTCAATGTTAATGTAAGAGTCTCAAGGCATTGGAAGGTTAATTAATCTTGTATTTAGTGAGAACATTTTATAGAAGTGTATGATCTATGCTTGTTTCTAGTCTGTACCAATATTAAGGGTAGATTTCTTGCACTAAAAATGCTAAAACTATGAAATTAGGGAAGATTTGGTGTTGACCGTGAAGAGATTAAAGAATCCCCATTACATAAAGGAGAAGTTAGAAGTTTAGCATGTAACAAACTTAAAAAGGAAACAAGTAAAAATAATAGACAAAAATAACATAACAAAATTTAGACTTTAATATCTACCTAAAATCAGTTGAAAATAAGTGAAAATAATGAATATACAATTATAAAGAATTTAATATTTAATATTCGTAGGTAACACTGTTTAACCCTTTTACCATTAAAACTATTATATCTAAGCAGCCGTGAGGAACAATATAAATTATGGACACTTTTATTATTTGCAGAACTTCCTCCTTGTATCCGTAAACATTTAACCTTCTGAGGTATCACTCTAGCTAGCCCAAATTTGCTATGTTGTAGGTTATGGACAGTGAGGGCAATCTCTTGCACCTGAAATGAGAGCATTGCTTGTGCTAGATCAGTTTCTTGCTGCCAATTTTTTTATACCTGAAACTTTCATTGGCAATGGGCCTCATAATTTGCAACCCATTATCAAATCCTATTATAGATCAGATGTGATTTTCCACAATAATGACTCTAGTCCATGGGGCAAGTCAGAAATGTCTGGATAGTAGCAGGGATGGCTTGACAGCCAAACCTCCTTGACTTGGGGACTTTTGGCACCCATCAGGCTCATTAAATCTGTCAAAGTGCAATGATTTTTTAAAATGGTCCCTTCTTAAGGACAATGACCATTGAATTGGTTGCTGCCTCAAGAACAGACAATGTTTTGGCATTGTTGTTAATGCAATAGACTTTGATGTACTAACATAACTGAAGTAGGCCGAGTGTGTATTGCAAACTCTCTAACATGTGCTTGTTTGTCGTTCTTCCTTGCTGCAGATGCAAAGGTGGATTGAAAGTTGATTGGCCCTGGAGGGAGATTGATGGTTAGATTTGGAATAAAGAAAATGATAGTTTGATGCATTAATTTCCTCGAGAAAAACCTATAGAAAAAGGTAAGAGAACTATTAAGAAATTCTCTAGCCTGGCAGGCTGACAGTGGGCAGGCAGAAATTATGTACCAAAATAAATAGTTGGCAGGGAACAATAAATTATGTCCAGTGAGTAAATTGTACCCTTAAATATAGGGAATTATTTGTATTAGGATCTTTTTCAAATTGAGTTGGCAATAAGATATTATATTTATAGATGTAAAATTATTTAAGTTTGATTTGAGAAAAATTTAAAATTCATTTGTTTATTATTTAGTTAGAATTCGAATTATTCAAATAATTTATTATTTCACTCGAAATTTTGTGAATTTAATTAAATTTTTTAAATATATATTTAATATATATAATTAAATAAAAAAATATAATTTTTAATATCAATATTTATAATTTTATCAAATTTTCTTAAGCTTATTAAATCAAATTCGAGTGATTCAATTAAATTATAAGTTAAGTTGTGACATAAAAAATTAAATTCAATTAAATTTAAGTAAAGTTTTAAATTTTAAATTTTTAAATTGAATTAAATAATATATTATTTGAATTCGACTTGATTACACCTCTAACATACCCAAAGATCAAAATGGTGAATTCTTAGTATGCCCCAGTTCATCCCATGTTTTAGTTGTACATTGCTTGGCTAGCTGGAAGTTGCAATCCTTACTCTGTATAGCTCTGGACCTTAGGTTCTATTAGACTATTTTTGTTGAAGAGGAAAACTATTTTATCAGCAATTCTGGGTTTTAAGTGCCATTTCCAGTTCACAACTGACCTTCGTTTCTTCAACTTTGACATAAACTAAAATAGATTAGAAAAATAAAAAACAAAACAAAAGCACGAAAATCGCAATCCAGCCATGTCAAAAACAGATGCTCTCATACAAAGAAGAATGGTTTGTAGATTGAATGTAGATATGATAGATAACTTCAGATGTCATGCAAACAGCATATAAAAAGAATGAAAACAAAATTTTTCATCTTCAATATAAGCAACTAAAAGTTAGCTTCATTCCAATCACTTTCTGTACATTATTATTTCAAGCTGAACCCAGGGACTCCTCACCTACTGGGGAAAAAAATTTTGGTACAAAAAGAATAAATTCCAATGTATGTTTCACCACTTGGCCAATTCATTTACATTTGAAGCTAGCTTTAGTAATTCTGGTTACAATGTTAACCTACACCTTGACTATAATATATCATATATCTGCAACTGTAAAGTGATAGAGATGAAGAGAGGGTGAGAAACTATTCCTGAATTACAAAGGCGTGTCCGGGCCTGCCATAAATCATCCTCCATGGCCGTGTCAATGGCAAAAATGGTAACCTTTTGCTTTTAAGAATTCACATCTCCAAAAAATGATTGAATGTACATGAATGGACACTGGTTCCAAGTTGAAGATCTTGTCAAAACATAACTTTCAAGTGTCCTCTACGAAAATTCTGAAAATAAAATCACGAAAGCGTTTTGAATATTGCTTTGGATCAACAGCAGAAATTGATGTTGGATCATACTGCATTGATTTATATGCATGCTCAAGCTTCTTGCTAATATCATAGTCTTGTAGAATGTCTATTATACCAAAGAAGAGGATGACATCATACAACACACCAGTTGGTTCTCCAACCAGCTGAGCTTCACAATCACTTTTTCTCACTGTCTTTTCAGCGCGAGCCGGCATGTTTATACCTAATCTAATGGAAGACCACCTGCATTGTCAAATTTAGAGATCATCATTATCATGGCCATGGCAATCAATTTGGATTTCTTTTTTGTTGAACAAAAGAAAAGGAAGAACACAAACACACACAAGCATGCAACCAAGTGAGATTCACATAGTGATCAGTTTAAAATCGGACAGCTGAAGAAACTAATTATTTTAATGATAATTATAAAGGAGGATCCAAAAATGAAAATATTCAGTTTACCGAGAGGGATCAATAAGAAGCTGATCCTTTCCTAATTGAGATAGCTGAGGAGCTCCTTCATTTTCATGATCTTCATTTCCTGCAAGGTAAGTCCAAAACATATCTTAATCAGTTAAGCAACCACTGATTTCACAGTCATGGAAAATTTTAATTTCAGAGATGACTAGATATAACCAGTAGGTGTAGGAACTCCAGAAGTACAAGATGTGGAAACTTCTTGAAAGTGAAAACCAATCAGCAGACTATAGTCCATAATTCTCTCCTGTTCAAGGAAGTCACAGTCTCGGTCGACTTGCCTGCATGAAGGGCAACTTAGATTAGAATAGAAAAATCAAAAAGTTCCAAGCTTATCTGTCCAAAAAGTAGATTTCAACTCTCTGAATTTCATACAAAGGTTCACTCTTGCCAATTGCAGCTTTTATAAGTATAATTTTGGAGAAAATTACCCCATTTAGATGCAAGTAACAAATCAAACAAGAGGAACCTAGTACAATATTGCATTCCCATCTCAAATACATAGAATGTTGCAGAGTATGATGATAACTTAAAAACAAAACGGTTATTAGAAACGATAATCACCTGCAAAACTCTTGGAACCACAGTTTCTGCAATCGAAAAATATAATTGAGATCAAGGTCTTTGAGGGTTGTTGTCAGATCAATTTCTGATTCAGGTTTAGCAGTTGTGCGACCATGGGAAGAACCTTTCAAGTCAAAGCGCCTATGAATGGCATAGTCAGTACAGAACAGATTCCCCATTATAACAAATCGTACCTGACTCATTGATCCCAAATGAAGAAAGTATGAGATTGATTGCAGAAATTTACGACTTCAAAGAATATTTATGTTTGAAGCTGAAAGTGTGTAACATTGACACTACCTTTTTCTGCGCTGCGCCAGTTAATTTCACACAATGAAGACCATAAAATTTGGTGACTAGAGTGTTCTCAAAGGACCGAACATGATTATAGTAGGCAGGAAGCATCCTTATGAGAACCTGCAACAGTGGTCCCACTTGGATTAGTAAATATTTAAAACCAGGTAAAGCAATGCATGCATTTTCAGAAAAACATTTCATGCAATGATTATTTACTCATCAAGAGTCATTTCTGCACTTTATGAGTAATACAAACATTGTCTGAAAACTTAAAAACTTAGCGAACTAATGAATTGTGAGGGACTGATATTGTCATCTAGGAAAATTTTTATGATCTATAATGCCTACCCTTATGATAAATAAAAAGTTGCGTTTATCATAATGGTGCAAAGCTAACTTATAGTTTTTTAATTCAGCCGGAAAATGCAATAGAAACAACAATAACACTTACTTTTACTTCCGCCTTCTTCATTGTCTTTATCATGTATCTGTCATCATTGGTCAAGTAAAAAAAGCTTCCACTTTTTCCAGGGGATGATAGTTCCCGAAGGGCATCATTCCCACATATTGAAATCATGTAATCAGCTGCATCCACATTGAACAATTTCCTAAGGGTCCTGAAAATGTAAAAATGATGACATGTCAGGAACTACTTCTAAGTTCTAACCACAAAATTGTGGAATCAGATTCATATTATATGGTTCCAGTATTATTATCACATAATGAATTAGATAAAGTGAACTGTTTACTATGTTTCCATTTGCATACAACTATTTTTATAAGAGCATTATATTGTTATATTATAGTGGCATGATTAAGACCAAATAGTTCCACAAAGAAGGATTATCTGTTGGGTACAAGTCAATGATCCAGTCTCTAACCTGAATACAACTGGGCAGTAATCCTTCCACCTGAATTCACAAGATTGATGAGGTGGAGTGTGCTTGGATCCTTCAGGTGGAAATTTGGTCCATACTTTTTCCTTAGGATCAAAAGCTGAAGACTTCAGATCGAGGGATATAGCTGGAGCAGGCCTTCCAACAGAGTGCCTACAATGTAACAAGAGAACCAATAAATGCATGATTAGAACACTAATCATTATATCTCAGAACTGAAATGAGTTTAAGATCAAGAAATCTTAGCTACAAACTAAAGGGTGAGCAATTACCTCAAAGCAAATATTGGAAAACTAAAATAAGGGATTAAAGACTTTATCAGATTGATTCTTAAGTGGCGCATAAACTCACATTCCCTTCTTACAAGCTTGAACTAGATAAACATAATCAGGAAGGCAATGAATACCAAAAACAAGCAATAACTTTTTTAAACCTTGAAGCTATCAGGATTTGAACATCATCACTGAAACTAGGAGTTCAGTATTCTACCAACATGCCAATGCAGCTGTTGGCAAAAACAAGCAATATTGACATTAAAGTTTAAGATAAGATTCAGTTTTCTTCAACTGGGCATAAGCTGTACCTTCAACACCTAGCAAACAACATTCAAACTAATAACCAGAGGAAAATATACATAAAGAAACATTACCTGATACCCAGTTGCAAATTGAGCATGAGCTCATAATTTTTGTGCCCTTTCGATATCGTCTGCCCCTGCTTCTTCATTGGCATCTTAAACTCTGTACAACTCCCTCTTGTATCTGAATCTTCAAGATGAAGACTCCCCCCTCCTTCATCCTCATCCCTCGAGTCCCCTTCACTAGCAGCAGAAAAATCATTCATATACGAACCCCAACTATAACTACTTAGCTTTCCATCAGACATTCTCCTCTGCCTTCCATCATTCCCTTTGGCCATTCCAGGCCAATTTGGCATCTTTTGTGACGGAAAAATTGACACCTTCTCACCAGGGCATATCTTGCAGTCTTTCAAATCCTCCAAAAACACCTGTTGAGGATCCCAATCTAGATTCCCATTTTGAGAATCGGAAGGATAATAAGTTCCACTTTGTTCCTTGTCATCCTTACTCCAAACACCAACATATGAACTCCCATCTGCCCATTTGAAATTCCCATTCCCTTTAGGAAAACCATCTTCCCAAAGACCATCATACTCATTCCCATTACTCCAAATCATTGTTCCATTGCCATTCATCAATCCATTCCTCCATTGACCAATATAATGGTTCCCATTCTTCCATTGGTACCTGCCATGCCCATCCTGGAATCCACGGCGCCATTCTCCTTCATAGTAATCCCCATTGGCATAACTTTTAGTGCCTTGTCCATGTTTAAAGTTCATAACCCAATTACCTTTATAAGTATCTCCTGAAAAACCTGTATAAGTCCCTTTACCATCCATAAAACCACTCTTGAAGTCACCTTCATAGGTAGCACCTGAAGGCCAACTAAACTTGCCTTTACCCATCGTCTTTCCTTTAAACCATTCACCAACATACATACAACCATCAGTCCATAAATATTTTCCATTGCCATGAGGCAAACTATCACACCATTCGCCTGTATAAAAGTCACCATTTGGAAGGGCTTTTTCAACATGGCGAACTTCACCAGGGCCAGGCTCTTCATCATCAACATGAGCTACTGACATTGCTGTAAATATGCTGATTGCTTTCTTCTTTGCAGCTGCTTGTGATTTCTTTACTTTAGTTTCCAGGGCCTTTCTAAAGCCAAGCTTTTTGCTCATTTGCTCATTCTATGTATGGACGAATAAAAACTATATCTTTGTTCAAACTCTGCATTCCTTTTTCCTTTCTTTAACCAATAACCCAAAGATCAAAAAATGTCTCTTTCCCTTGCATCAATGTGGGTTTTTCAGGAAGACCAAAAAAATAAAGAAAAAAAATGCATTTTCTGAGACTGACCCAGAAGAGAGAAGAATTGGAGGGAAATGGAATCACCTAAACAAACAAAAACCAACACAAAAAATCCAATTTCTTGTGAAAGTTTTGAGCTTTTTGTGTTGCTAAGTTGGCTTAAAGAAATGGGTATCTTTCAGATTTTGAAATAAAAAAATTACAAAGAAATGGGAGCTGTTGGATTGATGAGGAAAGCAAAAAAGAAGAGGAAAAATTCTCTTTGTTTCTGGGTTTTTTTTTTTTTTTCTTTTTTGTTTGTTTGGTTGGGATAGAACAAAAACAGTTTTCCTCTGATTTCCGGTTATGGCTGCTAAAATGACTAGCAGACCAAACAGTTGGAGGGAGCATAGAAAGGGCGTTGGTGTCGATGTGATTGCCATTTTTAGTGTCTGAAATCTCCCATTTACCACTAATTTTAGTACATTAATATAAATTGATTAACCTTGTTTTTACTGGCCAAAAACAAAACCTTCTTTTTATTTTGATTTTGCAGTTTTGTCCTTCTATTTTATATAATTTCATATTTTTATTTTATAGATAAAGGTTTTTAAAACTTAATTTTAATTGAATTAATCAACCAAATCAATTTAATTTTGTTAATCAATTAACTATCAAATTAATCTTAATCAGTTATCAAGAAAATAATTTTAAGAGAATTTTGATTTTTGATTGATTCATTCAAAAATCAAATTACTTGTAATTTTTATAGAAATATAACAAAACTCAAATATAAAATTAAAAATACATGAAATGAGCTATTTCATTTTGTAAGTGGTTAAAGTTTTTAACTAAATATTTAGGTATTTGAATATTTTATTTAATGATTTTATTTATATCTTTCAAATATGGAAAAATAAATGTTTAAAATATAATTTAACTTGTATGTATTTTATTATTCAATTAATTAAAAAATTAATTGAATCAATTAAATTTAATTTAATTAATTAATTTTTGAAACTACTAAATTCAAGTTGATTAATAAAAATAAAATAACATGATTTTGTTAATTTAATTTTGAATAATTCGATTTGAAATAAATCAAATTGATTAAATAAAAAGCGATATCCATATATTAGAATAGTTATTCTAAGTGTGTTAAAAACATACAATGTAAGTTTAAAATTAGATATACAAAAGTTAAATTAATTTTATCCATCAATGTTAGACAATTTTATGCAATTCACATCACATTTCCTATTCTAGTGGATGAAGAAATTGGTATGGTAAAACCAGAAACAAAACAGAATTTTTTAATTAAGAAATAAATAAATTAGAATTTTAGTAAGTGCTACCAAATACAGTTCTCACATTAAAATTATTAGTAAGAACTACTTTTTTAGAGAATTGTTTATGTGGTGAAACCTTGTTGATTTTAATGCTCCATTTATATTTTTTGAGACTGTTTCACATAACTAAAAAATTGTTACCCTTTCACAAGTATTCTAGTTACACAAGGTAAATAAGAAATTATCAAAAAACATTTTGGTCCCATCCATATACCTTAGGGTAAATGATTTATTATCGTATTAAAATTTCCACCCAAAGGATGTTGATGTAACATATCAATAGTTTTTATACAAAATTGTTGAACTGCACTCAAAATTCGAACTTTTAGAATTAACATTATCTTATAGTGAAAACAATCCAATAATCTTTGTATCAACAATATTAAATAAGCACATGATCACTTGATTCAATGGTAAGTGCCTATATTTTTATGTTCAAAGAATTACACGCAAAACATTATTTTTCTTTCAAGTGAAAAATACCTGTAAATAAAATAACGAGCCAAAAATAAGAATTGTAGATAGATGGGGGGAAGAAATGAAAATAAGCTAAACTTAAGGACGCAAAGAGAGAAAATGAAAAGAATTTTCATTAACTTAAGTCTGGTTGGCCAAATACGGTAACGCGTCCAATGTTGTCTTGTTGCAATCGTGCAGCCTTGCTCTGTGTTTCAGCTCCGGACAAACAAGGTCAAACATTAAACCTGAGGGACCCATGTTCTGGTTGGATTCAAAAGTTGACACTTGTCACCTCCTTTTACATTTTGTTTAGGATTTGTCATATAAATAAAAAAGCCAAATCTATATTGCTTTCCATTTTATGTTAGATTCACAGATTTAATCACTTTCTTATCTATCTTCTTCTAAAGTTAGCATTTGAACTTTCTTTTGCATTTTGTCCTTCTGTTTTTTTAATTTTTTTTATTTATTCAAAGTAAATTAAAATACTATTTCATCAAAATTGTTCTAATAAATATAATTAAAATAATAAAATAATATCACAAATAACTCTTGAATTATAATAAAATATCTAATATGATATTTAAATTTTAAAATTTTTAATATAATATTTAAATTATAAATTTATTAATTATAAAAATAATATTTGAAAGACTATTTGCTAGTAATGTGTCATTATTTGAAGTAATCATATTAAGAATAAATATCACATTAATTAATAGATTTTCGATCTAAATACTATATTAAAAGTTTTTAAATTTTAAATATTTTATTAAATATTTTAATATAATTTAAAAGTCATTCATAACATTAATTGCAAAATAATTGTAATAAGCAGTAATTTTAATAAATTAGACTTATAAATAAGCAAAACTTTTATTTTTATATAAAATTACATCCATAAGTAAATCGTATATTTACATATTTATTACATCTAAAATAAAATACTAATGAATAAACAAGCAGAAAGTTGCTTCAAACTCATACACGTGTAAAATAGTGATACTGCAACCTAGATCAAAAGGATTCAAGATCTGTTTCATTGATTATAAATAAGTTAAATAATAAATTTTTTTAAAACAAAAAAATTACCCACCAATAATTTTAAGAAAAATGAAGATTCAAATCCTATTCTTCAAGCAAAGAGATACAAACAGTAACTGTTAAATCAAATGCTTTATTTTCATAAATAACAAGGATTAAACAATGATATGATCATTATCATTTGTATGTAGATCTAAAAATTCATGTATTATTTTTGTGTCTCATTTTGTGTTTATATTTAGACATAATAGGAATAATTAAAACATGAAAATGGGATGAATAATTAAATATGTCAAAATCTAAAATATTAATATGATATATTTTATTATACGTATTATACATAATACGATATGAAATTTAACCTTTTAAAATATAATTTATTTAAGCCAAAAATATAGTTTTTATTAATAATATAATTTAACATAAATAAAAATAAAACCAAAGCTCCATTATCATAATAATTTGTGTGTTACACTATAATTTAAATTACTAACATGAAACATCTAAAATGAAATTAAATGAGCAAGCACATTACAAAAAAGAAATCAAGGATTTTAGTTTTATCTTTATTACTGATAAAACATGTTGATGAAAAAGAAAAACACACTTGCTCATCACTTCGGCAATTCAAATTCCAATACCCAAATGGAAAGGGGGAGACAAAAGGGTTTTGATAGGGTTTGTGTTGTCAACATAAACATGGGCAATTGCAAATGATAAGGATCACATAATCCCAACCTCTGCATCCATTTTATGCATTGACAGACAATATGTTTGATGTTGCACCATGTTGATTCTTGGTCTCCCTTTTGGGTGCCTCGTCTCAAACTAGAATAGTGTTTTGTCTTCTTAGCTTCTATACGCTCAACTTTGAGCAGAGATAAGGGTACGAATGATACCAATTTGGTTCGATTATTTTAATTAATATATAATATTATAAATTTTTAAAATTTTATTCAAATTTGAATAAAAATTTTTTAGAATTAAATTGAATTTTAACAATTTGATTTGATTTTTTAAATTTTAAAAATTAATTTCTTAATATTATTTTAATATAATTTTTAATATATTTAACTAAATTTAGGTATAAAATATTTATTTTTATTTTATAAAAATTTTAAATACATATAAACTAATAAATATATATAATTTAGTTTAGTTCTTTTTTTTATTTTTTACTTTTAATTCTAAATTCGATCCAAATTAATATATATTTAATATTCAAATTAAATAAAAAAATCGAACCGACCAATATGATTTCAAATTTTTTTTTTATTTTTTTATTTTTTCCCAACCCAAAATAAGGGCACATGAACTTAAGCCTTTGGTTTGCTTAACTTAGAATAGATAGCTCAACACAGATCTTGAAAATTGTACCATGAAAGTTAAGGATGATTTGTCTAATTTGTAGCTTTTCCAATTTTTGTATGCTCTGTTTTTTCTTTGTAATTATCCATTTTGAAAACTTTTCTTTGAACATTGAATTTTAGATGTCAACTTTGGATTAAATCCCCTGCATCAACTACCATTGACTTCAGAAATTTGATATTATTTTGTTTAGAAAATGGGGTAAAAATAGCTATAAATATCAATCTCACAGGTGTCAAGAAAATAATAAGTCTTACGTCCAAGTTTTAACATAGATTTATTCAATTTTTCAATGATTTTATCCAATTATAATGGCTTGTTTGATGGTTTATCTATTTCATTGAATTATTATATGAAATACAATATTTAATTGTGATTGTAATTGTAATTGTAATTGTAATTGTAATTTTATTGGTAAATGTAACTTCAAAATATTTGATTCTAACAGTAAGTGAACGTATTCATTAAAAAGACTGAAATTTGGTTTTTGGCCAACCAAAAAACTGGGTTTCAATCTTCCTTCAAAAATTATAATACTTAATTATTTTGAGAGAAAATAGAGAATTTGAATTTTGGATTTCAAACTTTTTATAGTACGATGATAATTTTAGGTCAAATCTAAAATATTTTGCCAACAATTGCATGTTTTTTTAAATAGAATACTGACTCTTAATTTTAGTAATTATGATATAAATGCTAATAATTTCAAATATCAAAAAAATATTTCTAAAATGTTTCGAATAATTAAAATTTGAGATATTATAAAAAAAAAAAAAAAAGTAAAGAATGTTAAGTGGCAGTTCCTTTGAGTTCAAATTCATATAAGCATGGGCATATTCTCCATCGCACATGATCCAGATTTCAATACAAGCACTTGCTGACATTTTTTGTCAATGGCAGGCATCAATTCTTAAAAGATTTGATGATTATAAAAGCATGATTATTTTTCCCTCTTTAAGTTGCTATGAATGTGCATCCAAAGCATGATTTTTGGTTGATATTGGCAATCAAGGAAGATCATACTTGGGAAAAAAAAATTTTGAAATGCTATGCCACTTCTCCATGCACATAATCTATATTTAGATTTGAGTAGCTTACAAGTAAAAAGGAATTAGGTCAGAAAAATTTTTAGCCATACCCTTCTTGATTCTTAATTCTTAACCCCAAAAATTTACAAACTATTATTTTTTTTGGTCCCATTTCCTTTGTCTCAAATAAATTTTTTAAACACTAATATTCTTATTGGTTGTTAAGCTTATTGTTAATAATATTTTTGTTCGACGTATTGAAAATTATCAAATTATCCGTAAATTATTATATTTACAAAAAAAACAATGTTAAAGGTGTTTATTACAATAATTGAGGTGATATTTATAGAAAAAATAAGCATATTCATATATTATCCTTTCTTGAATTTAGTTATCATAATGTCTTGATCTTTTTTGAATTAATGTTTTAATTGTCTTTAATTAGTATCTATAAACATTGATAACTAGACTCATCAAGTATCTTTGACAAAATAAAGAATCATTGGTATATTGAATTGTTGGTGATGAAATTTTACTTCATGAGATTCTGTATCATTAATTCCCTTAACTAATTGTTATTGTACTAGTGAGGGCAGTAACAAAAAATGAACCATATGCATGAATGCCATAATGAAAGTTTGCGATTTGTACAAGAAATTTGATTAAAAAACCAAAAAAACATTGTTGAAATGGAAGAGTTACATGTGAACTGTTTAATTTTACTGGTCACATCATTAGAATCTTGTGTGTCAACAACATTTACATATGATTTCAATGATTTCAATGCAGGCAAAGATTTATTCATTTAATCACATCATCATTCATAAAATATATATATTTTTTGTCTTATCTGATTTTTTTAAAAAAATATTTTAAAAATATTTTTCAATATCTAAAATTTTTATTTTTATATTAAAATTATTTATTACGATTTTTTATTTTTTAACATTTAAATCCTAAATTTTTAATTTTATAAAAAATATTAATTTTAATATTAAACACATTAAAGTTAATTTTTTTTTTAAATTCTATGAAAGTCAAGAGCACTCAAACAATTTGACACGCAGAGAGTAATAGTGTGTTTGGATTAAGAGGAGGGGAAGAAAATGAAAGTAAAGTAAAGGAAACAATTTTTTTTTTTTGGATAAATTTTTAATTTAAAGAAAGAGATAGAGGTGGAAACAAAATAATTCTTAATTTTTCTTGTAAATCAATTTTTTTTTTAAATGCTAGAGAAAGGAAAGTTAAAAAATCCTTTTTTTTTTTTTTATAAAAAGTCTATTATGTCCATATTTTTATTAATACTAAAAATCTAATAAAAAACTTAAGCAAATCACAATCATCTTATAATTTTTTCAAAGTCATATATTTTTTCAAGTAAGTTTCATATATCTCTTTCAATATAAAATTTTTTTATAATTTTTTAGTGATTTAATTTTGATGAATGATTGAATATGAATAGATATATTTTTTAAGTTTATGAGATAACTGACTAGCTCAAAATTTATCAATGCATGTTTGTAAAATATCTTATTATATTATTTGATTAAAAATCATTGATATAGTAACAATTGTGATGCTAGATAAAATAGCAAGTATATCATGATTTAAAAGTGCTCTAAAATCACAAGCAATAAAAAGTTATAATCGAAAAAAATTATTATAATGAATTATTTCATTTTTTTTCACTCATTATCCAAACAATGGTTATTAAAATTCCTTTCATTTCCTTTTATTTTTTATTAATTTTAATTATCAAAACAAATGTTACATGTATCATTTCTTTTCTTTTAAAAAACTTTCATTTCTATTTTTTTTATTAATATTTATCCAAACATAATGTAAAAGAAATTAACGGAGCATGTGGTTTGTTTTCTCTATTCTTTCATCTCTCTTTTAGATTTGATAATTTAAAATACGATATTATCATATAATATGAATATGATATGAAAACAAAATTATAAAAGTGATACTATTTAAAATTTTAATAATAACTATATATGTGTAACAATATTAAAAAATATATATTTATATTTTTATAGTGATACAAATTGTGATATATAAATTTTATATAAAATATAATATAAATATATAAATATTAATTTTTTATATGATATAAATACACGAATTATTATATATATTTTTTCAAACTTTATTCTCATTTTCTACGGATTGCTTCATTCTTGTTTTTCAAATACTTATCAATTTGAGCATCAAAGTGGATTCTAAAATCCTAACACGAATGTGTTCTAACTTATCTAAAAGTGAATCTAAGAGCAATTTTAATGCATAGATTTTTGTAGTTTATCTCAAACATTTTTGAAGAGAAATTGTTGATTGGCAAAGGTCAGGTAGCTCTAAACTTCCATAATATTTGAGCGTTGAAAGCAAAGTATTCATCAATAAAGAAGAACCGACAAAATCTTGATAAGAAAATGGTAACTTTCCCCAGTATCCAATATCCTTATTGTTTCTTTATTAAGTGACCAGTTACCAGTCTTTGTAAGTTAACTTGCTACACCAACCAATTATCATTCGACAGCCTCATTTCTGAGACCTCAGGCGGCTGAGCAGCTGCGATTCTAGCTGCAACACAGCCAATCAAACCTAGTCTTGTAGATTAGTTCTTTAGGCTTTTCCATGGTTTTGAGATTTCAGCATATCTAAGTTCACTCAGACATCAGCTTTTTCTTTTCAACTTTTACTTTTGCCGCCCAACAATTGGCCCTTCCATATTTTTTGTTTTAAAACTTTACACTGTATTGATTCTCTGGATTTTAAAATTTCACTTCACCTGTCAAAGTTTTCACCCATTTTCCCTTTTTTCTGTTCTCAATCTTATTTTTTATATTATATAAAATATTAAAATTTATATATTTATATCATATTTTATATAAAAATTATATATAATAATTTATATAAAACATAAAATATATTATTTTTTATTAAATTTATTTATAATTATTATTAAATTTTAAATCATATTATTTTTTTATTTTATATCATTATATTATATTTTAAATTATCAAATCTAACTTCAATCTCATATAAAAAAAAACATACTAGCAGCTTCTTTATTTTATGAAATGGATTAAAATTTGGATAACATCAATAAGAAATCATTGAGACTTTAACCAAAACTTTATACTGTATTGATTATCTGGTTTTTAAAATTTCAGTTCACCTGTCATAGTTTTCACCCAATTTTCCATTTTTTTTTATTTTGAATTTTGATTTTTTTATATTATATAAAATATTAAAATTTGTATATTTATATTATATTTTATATAAAAATTATATATTATAATTTGTATTTATATAAAAATATAAAATATATTTTTTATTTTATTAAATTTATTTATAATTATTATTAAAATGTTAAATCATATCATTTTATTTTTATATATCATATTTATATTTATCATTATATCATATTTTAAATTTTAAATCTAACTTTAATTTCAAATAAAAAAACATACAAATAGTTTCTTTATTTTATGAAATAGATTAAAATTTTGATAGTAACGATGAAAAATCAATGACGCTTTAATAAAAAATTTCTTCAAAATAATCGAATAAGTCTCTATTTGAGAGTTTGGTGAGAACATATTTACTGCATTGAAAAATGCCTTTTTTTCAATTGAACTCTAATCAATGGAATCAACTTTTGGTGGATATCTCAGTTCAGTTTCAGTTAATGTTTTTCAGACTTCTGCAGTCCATATTCTCATCCTTTATGGACAAGCCCAAGTACTAAACTAGCACAACGGTTGGCTTCAAGTCTTTCATCCCTCAATCCTGAAAGAACATTTTCTTATATTGAAAAGAAAAATGGAAGGGATCAGAGTGTAGTGAAGTCTTCACATTGAAAAGGCTGTCAATGCACTTGAAGCATCAAAGATTAATGAGTTGGTTGCTCATAACAAACAAAGAAAGTGCATTTGTGCCCGATAACCTGAATAAAAGCAAAAATTCAAAACTTAATTCAATTGATTCATGCAGCCATCGACCTATTCATCAATCAAGCTGCCATTGCTTTCCAACTTTGCAGGAGGCTCATATTCTTTCAAGAAAACTATTGTTTATTAATTTAATTGTAATGAAGATCAAAGATAAGCCCTGATTTGGTGAAGATGAAACTGTATTCGTCTTCCATCAAAACTTCCACCTGCGCTTATAATAGAAGCATCCCAAACATTTGGTGAACAAGATGTCTAATCAAGTGCATTCTTCATAGCTGGGGGTATGAAAAAGAAGGATTTAAAATGAACATGCAGAAGAAATATCTCTAATTCATGCTATTCAATCAAACACTATAACATTCAGGACTAATAACTGTGATGTAATTAAACACAAATGGTACACTTTTTCAGTGCACACTCCCTACGCATTTCATGCAAAATCTTTCTAAGATTAGTAAGATCCTTCTAATTAATTAATGAACAAAGTATAAATCTTACCACAAAATATCTTAGGAACAAAACCCGTATCCGAAATCAAAAACTTGTGTTGATAAAAGAAGTTTTTGGTTTCATTGCTTGTTGCTTTGTCTGGTTCAATAATACCGCTTATGAAGAAATGAAAGAGGATAAGGCAACAGAAACAGAGTAATTTTAATCAGGTGAAGCAAACAGAAAGCAATTAGCTTCCTTAATCTTCTGATAAAACTGTTATTAATGGAGTTGTACATTTCCAGACAGAGCGACAGAAGCACAACACCATATACAACAGCATGTCTACTTAACCACACTAGCACTTCAAGTCTGTTTCAATCACATAGCTAAATTTCATTCTGGCAATGCTTTTATGCATGCTTTTACATAGCATGCATAAACGCCCAAGAGCCTACAACTGTGACTGTGCATAGCAGTTTTTCCATTCAGACTAGTTGAAGCAATTTAACCATAGGCCACCCAGAGATCAAGGCTCCTGCCAAACACATTTCTCTTGCAGCAAGCATCCTCAACATTCTTAACCCAATAACTGAGCATGAATGCAATCAGGAAAAACACCCAAGACGCAACCAATGCCATTTTGTACATCCTTTCCCTAACATTATGATTGTACTTTTTATTCTTAAGCTTGAAATGCTCTCTTCTTTCATTGTTGCGGGTTTCCAAATCATACCAATCATAAGATTCAGAGGTTCTTCTAAGCTTGTATTCTGTGCTAGCATGGAATCTTTGCCCAAGATTTTCTTTGGTGAATGGTGTTAAGGCAGGTCCTTTCTCAGATACTCTGTCACTCTGCCTTGGGAAATCTGATATTGTTGAGAGATTAGAACTGCAACCTACATCAACAGATTAAAGAGGCCAATTAACAAGTGAAAGAACCCTTAATAGATCTTGCCTTAGAAACTGAAAATTGGGAGTAAATGCATAAGCATAATCTTCACTTCTTAAGTGCTTTTGTCTAGGTCAGATTGCTCTACCAGGAACTGTACTGCAGCAGGGGCGGACCCACATTGAAAAAGAAGAAAATTTGTAGAAAAAATTTTCCCTGGACACCATTTTTATATATTATATATTATATAAGTGGACACACTGGAAAATAATCCTGGATCCGTCACTTACTGCAGTCAGTAGTTCTAAGTTTTAACCAGATTTTGTAACAGATTGAGGAACATAGTTTGGAAATGCTTTCTCTCCCATTAGAAGAGAGCAGAGAAGACAGTTTGATGAAATTCTAGAAAATAACAGTAGTTAAATAACAGTAGTTACAAAAGAATGGCATCTTTTATAACTGAGAATATTATGTCTTTAACAAGGGCTGGAGCTGGGCCACAACTTCAAGTTGGCAGGTTTGAATAGTTAATATACAAGCTAATTTAAAAACGAGCCAAATCAAATTAGAAATATGCATTCTTCAAAATAGCCAGTGCACTACAGCAACAGACAGGATCCAACAGTTGAGGACTCGAATAGCAGCTAATTTTAAGCACACTCACTCTCCGATGCACAGGTGACCATTCAGATGAAATATGGACGATGTTGTTCCTACCTTACATTTTCCTAATATTCATAAAGTTACTTAAGATCGAATAATTTCCAACTCTCTTCCCTGCTTAGATTCAAGTAAGGTTTGAGAACAAGTACATACATTCTTAATAACCAGAAAGAAACAAAGTTACAGACAAATTTTTGGAAGGGCAATTTTTGTGTCTAGACAAATATTTTAAAAATTTAACATCATTATATTCATCACAAATTCAAGTGAGAATTTTTTTCTCCATTATCTTTCAAGCAAAAAGATGAGTATGAAAGCAAGAAACTAGACAAGTGACAAACTGTCTCAGAAAACCTAGTAAACAAGGACAACTTTCTTGCTCAAAACTGCTTAGAAATAACTGGCATTATTCTGGAAGACTGTATGACTACATATAATCTGTATGTTCATAGAGCCATAATTGGTGCATAAGGAATAACCAGTTCAACATCTTTGCAGGTAATGTCTATCTTTGCATAATGAAGTAGCTGTTTGCAAGGCAGTGGACTGTCAGATGCATATTATTACTATTACTGTGTTTTTTTTTTTTTTTTTTTTGTCTAAGTAGCACATGCATTATTAGTTCATAAAGTGAACCGGAATTACAAGGTTTGAGCTGCCCTGCCATGTTACTCAAGAAAATCTAAACAAAAACAAAATTACATTTTCAAACAGAAAATTCTTATCCATCACAGCAAAAATAAAAACAATTGACAAAAGCCTGAGTGAGTAGCTTACTCAGCACTTACCTTGTAGTCGCAGAGTAAATGCTTGCAATGCATGAAGAACTTCCTCAATTCTCTGCTTGGATGCTGGGTCAATAAGGTTGCCATCACCATCAAACTTTGCTGGAGGCTGAAATGCATTCAAGAAAAACTCGGGCTTATTGATAAAATGAAGATCAAGATAAACCCCAATTTGGCGAAGATGATACTGTGACCGCGCGCCACCTAAGCTTCCTGCAGCGCTAATAATGGCAGCAGCTTTGTCAGCCCAAACATTTGGTGGTCTAGAAGCCCAGTCGATCGCATTCTTCAGAGGTCCTGGTATAGTGCAGATAATAATAAATGTGAACAGGATGGTGTAGATATGTAAAATCTTCAATGCTGAATACTAGACTTAAAAAAGGTCAAACCAGTTTAATAAACATGTATCTAAGTTAATGCGATGGAATCCAAAAGTGAGAGATCCTACTACACCATCTACCTTATTGAAAATCTGACATTTAGAGTGTAGACCTTACACATGAGAAAAGTACCTAAGTACTCTTACGTAGCAAGGTGGTAGCCTTGTCTCAATTTGCAGTATAAACTGGTTTTGAACTACCTGACTACAAAAGCCTCAAAAGGCATATGTTTAATCAAAATTCTTCAAAAGCAAAGAATGCAGTTTTAGGGTGTCTATATTGCCATTTGAATATTAATCATCCCTTTGCTTCCACAATTATAAAGTTACCGAATTGTTTTGCATTTAACCCAAATCTTTCTAAAACTAGTGAGCATAACAAGTTTCTTAGGGCACCCATTAGAAAAGCCCTTATTATAATTATCCCATCGATTAGTAATTAGCATTATTTTTATAAAAAAATATATTTTTAATTTTATTTGCATAAACGCTCAAACAATATAAAGACGCTTTTGCAGATCCTTGCACAAATACACACAAGCCCATATATGCATTTGCAGCGAAAGAACAGGGAAATGAGAAATTGTAGAACCTTCTGGTTACTGGAATGAAGATGGATTAGAGAGACTGAGAGAGAAGGAGAAACATGTCTTTTGGGAAAAAGAACTTGAAAAGGGAGGGACAAAAGGATCCTAATGCAATGGTCCATCTATGGCAAAAGTTGGGAATGCACTAACAATGAAAAAGTCAGCAGTGGAGGCTGCCAAGCCATTAGGAGGAGAAAGAAAGAGAATGAGACACAAATGCAATGGTCCATCTATGGCAAAAGTTGGCAATGCACTAACAATGGAAAAGTCAGCAATGGAAGGCTGCCAAGCCATAAGGAGGAGAACAAAGAAAGAGAATGAGACACACATTCGGAGAAGAAAAAAGATTGAAGAAAAAATGAAACTAAGATGACTTCCTATAATTTGGCATTTTTTGGCCATGGCAAGATTCAACCAACCTTAATGGTTTTTGTTATCAATTCTCCTCGATTGAATAAAATCATATAGGTCAAATCCTAAATTGAACAAAAAATAGATCAAGTTTTTTTTTTTTTTTCTTTCTATGTCCAATATTAGTCCAAGTTTAGCTATAATCAAACTCATTAAACCTCCAAAGTGAATTTAACAAGGGACTCAAAACCAAACCAACCAAATTTTTTCAGTCACAATATTTTCAGTATGCATGTGCAGATATGGGTATTTCATCTTTAAAAGCTTTTCAAAGATTAGAATAACCAAAAACGAAAAAAAAAAAATCATAAAAAATATTTTCAGAAACTGAAATTACACACTTTAATCCATTAAGCTGGTTTTATCTGAACAATGCACACCCCTGACATGAGGCAACTTTGGGTTATATCATATATACTAAAATCTTTGACAGTACTTTAGCTTTGAATTGCACTCATACAAAAAAAAAAAAGCAATAATGTAGCCATGAATCACACATATATAGGAGAAAACAAGCATCTGAAATGGCTTTCCTTAATCACACAATTTTCTACTGACATTTCTTATTTCTTTCTTAATCAAAAGCATATCGAATGATGACATTCTATATGTATTGAATCTATTGTGTGTAAAACACACATAGATCCCTTGCGAACACAAGAAATACTAACTTTTCACCCTTTACAACTTCAGCTAAGGAGAATTAAACTTTGTTACTTGTTAGAGTCAAAGAATTTTTGCCTTTCTCTTACCTATGACTTAAATCAACAATCACCCTACCTTTTTTTTTTTTAAGTGGATGCCATAGTCTAGGGATAGGGGAATGGATTGCCATTGCTGGAATTTGAATCTCAGCTGGATGCCACTTCTTAAGGATGGCTGAATCACAATCACCCCACCTTACAAGTACCATATTTTCAAATAAAAAAAAAAGGCACCTACAACTTTAGATTTTAATACACCCTCATTAACTCACAGTTCCTCCACTTTGTCAAATTAAGATTTTTAGACAGAGATATGAATTTTGATGGAATGTCAAACTATTTTAATTTACTGAGAGTTTATAAAAAAAGTTGCTACAACTCATCAAAATCAACATTTACAATGATGACATTAAAATTGTTAACAAGATTGTAATTGATTGGCAGTGTACAAAATCTATAACTTATAGAAAATATAAATAAATAAACACCAAAAATATTGTACCAAAGAAATACAGAACAATACAAGGAGAAAGCTTTGGGATAAGATACTACCAGTAACAGAGTAGTTGTACTCAGGGGAAGCAAAGAGGATGCTATCAGCCTCTAAAATCTGCTGCCTGAAAGCCTCAACAACAGGCGGATACTTCCCATCAACCTCAAGATCGGTGTTGAGCATGGGAAGTGGTGATATGTCTATGTACTCCATCTGAATCCCATTAATAGACTCCTTGCATATCTCCAAAGCTGAAACGCAAAGACAAATCAACATTCCCAGAAACCAAACACGAAAAAAAAAAAGACCAAATTCAAACAACTCAGGCTTGACTGTTTAGCAGAAGCATTACCAGTACGAAGTAAACCTCTGTTGTAAGAGCCTTTCCTTAAAGACCCACAAAGGGCAGCAACTTTGATCACTGGTTTTGCTGCTATGACTGCTTCCATTGCTTTCTAATCTCAAAAAACTATCCTGTTCTCAGTTTGAGATGAAGTAACTCACTTGTGTCACTATAAAGAGGGGCCTAAGGGTGTGAGAGAGGAAATAATCAAATGCGGTAGAAAGCTGCAAATTCTTTGATCAGTTTGGGTTGGTGGGTGGTGAGATTTGTGACCGTGTGATTGCAATAATTGGTGGCCGAGTGATACAACAACAGAGCGGGGAGGAGTAAATGCTTAGAATGGGGCTTTTTTCTTTTCTTTTTTTTTTCAAAGTGAGGTATTAAATTTGAGCCTTTGGCAATTGACGATATCTGATTGCCTTTGAGTTTGCCAGCAATTAGACTCGGAGTGAAACAATTAGAATTTGGGTGCTTTTAATTGTACTCCAAATTTTGCATTTTATATATTTTTTATTTTTTAAAGTGGATTTATTTAATTATTTTTTAAATAAATTTTCGGATTTTTATATTCAATATATTTTATAATTTATTAGAAATAGACCTATTTATAGAGAGTTTGATATTGAAATTTTAAGAAAAATGATTAAATAAATATTTGGCTCTTAAATTTTAAAATTTTTTATATTGGTATTTAAAAATTTTTTTGTAACATTGATATTTGATTTTTAAATCATTATTATATTGATATTTTAGACTAATACTGTTACTCAACTTTACTAATGTAACATTAATATATGATAAGATACTGACACGTATCAAAAAAATTCTGTTAATGTCACATAATCATTGCTATGTGAGCATAAAAAAAAATTTTAAAAAATTCTTAAAAATATTAAAATTTTTTAAAAATTCTAACAAATTTTAGAAAATTCTTAAAAATTTTAAAATATTTAAAACTTTTTAAAAATTTTAATTTAAAAACCTTATAAAAAATTCTAAAAATATAAGAAAATTCTAAACAAATTCTAAAAAATTCAAAACCTACTTAAAAATTCTCAAAAATATTAAAAATTCTAAAATTTTTTTTTAAATTCAAAAAATTCAAAAAAGTTCTAAAAATTTTTAAAAATTTTAAAATAATAAAAAATTTAAAAAAACTAAAAATTTTTAGAAAATTCAAAATATTTTTAAAAAATTTTAAATATTTAAAAATTTGTTTAAATTTACCAAAAATTTTTAAATTTAATAAGAATAAAAAGTATGAAATATTTTTATAAATTATAAAAATTATCATAATTTGAAAATTTTTTAAAAATTATGTAAATTTTTTAAAAAATAAAAAAATCCAAAAAAATTATTAATTTATAAAAATTAATTTTTATAAAAAATTAAAATTCTACAAATTTATAAAAAATCTATCAAAATTTTTTGAAAAGTGTCAAGTTTTTTTGTTATTTTTGAATTGTCTAAAATTTTCTAGAATTTTTTTAATTTTTATAAATTTTTAGAACTTGTTAGAAAATTTTAAAACTTTTTAATTTTTTAAAATTTTTTTCAGAATTTTTTAAATTTTTAAATTTTTTAAGAATGTTTTAAAATTATTTTAGAATATTTAGAATTTTTGTAAAATTTTTAGAATTTATACAAAAATTTCTGAATATTTTAGATTTTTTGAATATTTTTATAACTTTTTAAAAAAATTTTGGAATTTTTTTAAAATTTTAAAGAATTTTTTAGATTTTTTATTTGAATTTTTAAATTTTTAAAAAAATTTTAAATTATTTTAAAATTTGTAAAAAAAATTTTATAATTTTTTAGAATTTCTTAAATTTTTTTAGAATTTTTTTTAATTTTTTATGCTAATGTGACAATAATAACGTGATACTAACTTAATTTTTTTAACACGTGTCAATATCTTATTGAATGTTCATGTTATATTAATAAAATTTACTAACGGCATTAATTTGAGGTATCAATGTGATAATGATTTGAAAGTTTAGATATCAATGTGACAGAAAAAATTTTTAGGTACTAATTTGATAAAAATTTTAAAATTCAGGAACCAAATATATATTTGACCCTAAGATAAATTACGAAAAAATAAAATTTTACTAGAAAATTTATTAATTGGTGTAACGAAAAAAGTTATTATTAAAAAATTATAAATTTTAAAATTAATAAAAAAGTTAATTTAACTATTTTAACCTTAAAGAAAAAATAAAATCTTATGAGATTCTAATAAAACATTTTATCTCTTGATGTTACAATGATGAAAACATTATCAAATCCAATCAACATTTGAGAATTAAAATTCCTAAAAATTATATAAATAATATTATTGAATACTATACAATTTCATTAAAATCTAATATGCTAACAAAAAAAAATCCATTGTGATAAATAAATGGAGAGATTTTTCCAAAAGATTTATTTTAGTTAAAGCTATTATAAAATTTTAATAATATAAAAAAATTTATTAAAAAAATAAATTTTAAATTAAAAAAAATAGTATTTACAATTTTATCTTTAGTTTAATTAGAGCCTCATAAAATTTTATTTTTTACCTAAGATCAAAATAATAAAATTATTCTTTTTATAATTTTAAAGTTTATGATTTTTTCAATAATTTTTTTATTACACCAATTAATAAAAAAATTTTAATAAATTTCTATTTTGTATTTTTTTTCTTAAAGTTTCAATCCTAAACTCTTGGAAATCAAAATTTGAAAAGTTATATAATTTTTTGAAAATCATTTTTTATGAGTTATATAATTTTTTATAAATTCATTTTAGGTAAATTATAAAATTTACTGAAAATAGATATTCAAAAACTTATGAAAAAAATAATTAAATAATTTCACTTATAAAAATTAAAAAAAAAAAGAACAAAAGTTAAAGTACGTTTAGAAGCACCTTTAAATTTTGGGTGGAAATTTGAGTATTTTTTGGGAAAGAATTTGGGATTTGGTTGTAGTTTTCCTAGTACTGCTATTTGCTTATCATAAATTTCATTCACCTTTAAAATATAGTGTAATACTAACTAATACACTTAAATTTTAAAAATTTTTAATATGATATTTGAATTATAAATCTATTAATTAATATAATACTTTGAAAATTATTTATTTGTCATGTGTAATTATTTGAAGTTAATCATATTAAAAATAAAAATCACATTTAGGTACCATATTAAAAATTTTTAAAATTTAAATATTATATTAAATATTTTATTATAATTTATAGATCATTTATGATATTAATCATAGTGTACACTATAAAAATTCAAAATTCATTGAGTCTTATAAATATAAAGATAACTTATATCCTTTGAATAGGAATGTTAATAGATAAGATATGAGGCAGGTAGCGTATTTCTATTCTCATTCTTAAATTTTTATATTATATTTATTTTTATATTTATATTTAATGGATATTTTAAATTTATTTTAATCTCCATTCTCACATATATTAAATAGTAATGGGTGATTCTTGTACTTGCAACTTCATAAAAAAGTAAAAATCAAATTTATTTTTTAATTTGTTTTTTAATTTTTATCTTACATAGTTATATAATTTTTTTTTATAAATATATATTAACATATTTTTAAATAAAAATATATTAGTTTTAATTAATCTAAAATAATAATTTATATTATTGAATAAAAAAATCTATTTACTAAATATATATAAATATATACAAATATATATATATATATGTACGAAACATGTGTTATATTACTCATTTATATTTCATATTCAATAAAAAATTTAAAATCATATCCATTCATATCTTTGTTCAAATAAAAAATTGAATTCTCATTAAGTATGGATAAAATTAACATTTTTATCTTTGAGCCTACAAAGAAAATAAAAAAAGAAGTGAATATTGAGCATTTGACTCGATCAATTGAAATATTTTTAACCTAATAAAATTTAAAATTTAATTTTTTTAAAAGAATAAATTGAACTCAATTTTTTAAAAAAGTAATTTAAAAAAATAAAAAATGAATCATGAGCGTTTAACTCAAATTTTTATAAAAAAATGTAACTTTTAAATGAATAAATTGAACCCATCTTAATTGAATAAACATTTATCATAAAATCTCACATGTTTTTGCATGTCAAATTTCACATTTTTTTATCTCTAATTGAATACAAGATTTTTTATTTGGAGTTTTAAATTTCAAATATGATACAATTTAAGTATATCTTGATACATAATTATTTTTTCAATTTGAAAAAAAAAGAATTCAAAATATATTTATTACATAAAAAATACAGATACATATCATGGAATCAAATATTCAATGTTTTGGGACACTATTAGGGATAAAATGTAACCCCACTCATAGGGTCAGGTAACGTATTAATTTTGGTACTAATGGAGGAAGCCAATGAGCTATAACACTAACAAAGAATAAGATAAATCAATTCCGTTATTGGTGCCTATTGACCAAGAAAAACCTGTCAGAAAATCGGAAGCAATTTTTCCATAAAAAAGAAAAGAAAATTTAAGGAATTTTCCTTGCCTTTTGCTTCACTCTGTTGTTCATGATTCCATTGATGATGTATCTTAATTTCCAACTTTCTTCTTTTCTTACTACATCCAAAAATAAGTAAATTTAAATCCCACCAACTTCTTCTGCAGGAAAAAGAATAAAGTGGTTGGACTTCTAGTTTCCAAGTGCCAAGACTCTAAACTTTTCACTTTTCAAATCTCTCTCACGAGATTCTTGATCCAAAGAAAAACAGATCCTTTCAGTTAATTGCTTTTCTCTCTCTCTCTCTGCTCACGTCACTGCTGTACGTTTCTCTCTCTCTTTAACATGTAAAAAACATAGTAATGAACATACGGCTTTTCTTTTTGGTTTGTATGTTTCCATGTTTTACGCTATGTAAATTTCATGAAAACAGGTACATGGGTTTTGAGCTAATGAGCTTTTAATACTATCCTCACTCCCAAAGTTCTTAACTTGCATTTGGGTCTTTTTTACTTACCCTGTTCTTGCATTAAAAATATTTGCTTTGCTGTCAAGTTCTCACTCTTTCTCAATTTTAATGGATACCCATTTTTTCTCTCTGGGCTAAGTTCAATTCTTGTTATTCATTTATGCTTTTTTTTTTGTTTGTTTTACATTGACTTGTAATTAGTAAACCCTTTCAATTGTAATGACTAGAAGCGGGTTGCTTAGTTCTAGCTTGCATTTGTTTCTTGTTTTAACTTTTTTGTATGGTTCCTGTTTAGTTCTGTTATGTCTGAAGATTGCTTGATCGACAGTAGGGGCCTTGAATATTGTTTGGTATGTTTTGAAATTTCTTGTTTGAAGTTTGATCCTTGTAGAAACAGTGATTAATTTCGCTAACTGCATTGTTGTTTTGACTGATATTGATGAATTTGAAGGTTCTGTTTGGTTTAATGGAAAATGCATCTCTCTTTGTTCTTTTCAGATATATTTGATTCTTATATGGAGAAATTCTGTTATTGTACTTTAAAACGTTTCTTGAATTTTGTATGAAATGTGAGCCTTTTTGTTGGTGTTTCATCTCAGCAATATATGTAGATTTTTGGCTACTCTTTTTGCTTTTTTTATAGCAACATCTGTATTATTGATATCAAGTAGTACTTCATATTCTGACTTACGAAAAGCCTTGCTTGTTTTTGATTTCCTGGGAAGTATCATAAGTCTGTAACCTTGTGTAGTTCTTGATCTACATCAAATTGATTTACAGTAATTCTTTTGCAGGCACTATTGGAGCTTGCATTCTCCTACAAGTCAACCTGAACTTCAATCATGTTAGGAAACTAATGGATTAGTAGCTTTTTCATTATTAACCAGTTTGGACACTTTTGCAGTATATGGCTTATTTTTAAGCAATTTGAAATAGGACGGTTTCTTCTGATTTGGAGAATCCAAGTCTTCATTTAGCTACAACCATCAATGATAGTGAGAAGGAACATGAGACGTGCTTCACCACTATTTCTGGTTACATTAGTTCTTGGGTTTTGCTTTGCTACATATAATCTTGTAACAATTGTAATGCACAATAGATCTATTTCAAAATGGATGGTAGATGACTCCAATGGTGGGATATTTTTTGATCCTGTCATTGGGAGGCCTGAAAATATGAGCAAACCAAAGAATGCCAAACTGCCTTTCCATGTTGCCTTAACAGCTACTGATGCTCCATACAGCAAATGGCAGTGTCGCATTATGTACTATTGGTATAAGAAGCAGAAGGACTTGCCTGGGTCAGAGATGGGAGGTTTCACGCGTATTTTACACTCTGGAAGTCCTGACAACTTGATGGATGAGATTCCTACTATTATAGTAGATCCTCTTCCGGCAGGGCTGGATCGAGTGAGATTTTGGTTACTGCTAGTCATTTCTTTCATTCGCTATCACTTCTTTTATGTGTGTTAAAAAGGCTTAGGATGGTCTTACGTTTTCGTTTTATTAGTTTGATCCATCAGTCCACTCATAGACAAAGTAACTTTATTGTTAGTGTAGTTAGTTAACAAATAAATTAGAGAATAATATTTCAGACAAAAAAACAGTATTGTCTCCTTTAAAAGAAGTTAGCATTTGGACATTTTCATATTTTTTATTCTGTCAAGATAGTTTGTCTTCTTGAGTGAGTCATTAATTATTGAATAAATAGCATAAAGCTGAATTTTTGTTATATTGAGTTCTTATGTTTCAGAGCATATGAATAGTTATTGTGTACTTTAAATGGTTGCTTATAGTTCAGAACTCTTTCAACATGTCAGAACTATCACGATGTTGTCACTTCTAATAGAGAAAAGTTGAATATGATTGCAAGAGGCTTTTCAACTTATCTTTCAAAAAGTGGGATTGGTTTTCTCATTTATTTTCATGAACCTTAATGACATTGAAACAATTATAGATTGATATAACTGGAAAGAATGCATTCTTCATATGTGTTTCTTTCTGTTGACCAGCTATAAATGAGAATATTCATCCGCTGAAGAAATGAACACAGAAGATTTATGGCTGAATGACATGTTTATTTTGGCAAAATATACTTGAATATTCTTCTGTTTTTTGTTTAGTAATTTTATTAAATTATTGTTGAAGCAATTGCCATGTATGTCTTTGTTTCTAGAATATGCCATTGTGTGTGCCTATTCTGAAAAGGTTCCTCTCTGTTCTCAGGGATACATTGTCTTAAATAGACCATGGGCTTTTGTGCAGTGGCTGGAAAAAGCTACAATTGAGGAAGAGTGAGTGTTTTTACATGTCATGATTTCATTATCAGTTTCATCATGCCTTAATCATTTTTTAAAGCATGTTAACCTTTTTTCTTGATGCAGATATATATTGATGGCGGAGCCTGATCACATATTTGTCACCCCCCTGCCTAATCTGGCACATGGAGGATACCCAGCAGCATTTCCCTTTTTCTACATTAAACCGGCTCAGAATGAAAAATTGTTAAGGAAGTTTTTCCCAGAGGAGATGGGACCTGTAACAAATATTGATCCAATTGGCAATTCGCCTGTCATTATCAAGAAGGTAAAATCTCCTATTGTGGGAAAGTTAATAGTATCTGATGCAAATTTTGTTACTAGTATAGATTATGCTAGATGCAAATTTTGTTGTGGGAAAGTTAATAGTATCTGAAGTAGTTGGGCTTGTTTTCCACTTGGTTGATAGTCACTATTGATACTTTGTTAGATCCGTTCTCAGGTGATTGTATTTGTTCATCTGTTTTCACCCTTAATGTCATTCCCTTTACATTGTCATTTTTATTGTTTGTCATAGATTTGCATTTGACTATTATAAGGCTTCTGTTAGATTAAAATGAGAAGATTTGATGTTGAACGAATTTTCCTATGCAGGATTTACTGGAAAAAATTTCTCCTACTTGGATGAATGTTTCTTTAAAAATGAAGGATGACCCGGAGACCGATAAAGCTTTTGGATGGGTGCTAGAAATGTAAGTATTGGTGCAAAAAGGCTGTTTATTTTGGAAGATTTTAGATCATTTGCTGATTTTTGGTACTGACATGTTTTTCAAATCTAAGGTATGCTTACGCTGTGGCATCTGCTTTGCATGGTGTGCAACATATTCTTCGGAAGGACTTCATGCTGCAGGTTTGGCACCTTATTTTTCAAAGGTTTTCATGAAGGTTTTTCCCTGTAGTTTTGATTGGATTTAGATACAACATTGACAAGACTTATTGCATTTTAAATATTTCAGCCGCCATGGGATCTAGAAATAGGGAAAAAGTTCATAATTCATTACACCTATGGATGTGACTATAACATGAAGGTGAACCTTTTCTTTTATGTATCTCATTAAGTTATCGTTCTTGCTTTTCCAAATATGGCTACCACCAGGATTTGTTTAAAATTTCCAACTTATTTCTAGATTGTTTAAACTTTATTTATTTGTCATTTAACATTCAGGGTGAGTTAACATATGGTAAACTTGGTGAATGGCGATTTGACAAGAGATCGTTTCTTCGTGGACCGCCACCACGAAATCTCCCCTTGCCTCCTTCAGGGGTTCCGGAAAGTGTGGTATGTATTTATAAATATCAGTAATTCTAAAAATAAGCTGAAAGTGAAACGATTGAAGAATGAATTGTAGAACAATCGTGTGTCTCACTAAAATAATTCTTTCATAATTGATTTGGTGTATAGCATCTGTCTCCTAAGGTGTGTTATCCATCTGTGAATTTGCATAACTTGATTGGTGATTTCATCTTCTATATGCTCCATAGGTCTAATGATTGAGGATATCGATGGACCAATAGCAACCAATCTTAGGGAACTATATTTGCTATTTTTAGTGAATTAAAGTGCTTTTCTTTCTGTACCATACTTTCTTAGCATGTACTGGATTTTGTGTTTCAAGACAGTTTTTGTTTCTTAGTGACTATGCTTAGGGAAGCCGAGCCTAGCCATATGCAGGCTATTTGAGCTTGACTAAGCCAAAATAAGTGTAAGATCTGTCTGATCAAAACCTAGCAAATCTGAGTTTTGTCCGAGATGAACTTGAGCTTGATTACTGAGGAAAAACAATTAGAGAGCTCAAAGTTTTGATTGTGGTAGCTTGAATATTCTATTGAGGGATTCTACTTCTTGAAGCATATTGTCAGCCAATAGCTTCTTCTCCCCAACTAAATTTTTTTTTTCCAGTTAAAAGATCTTCAAAGCCAAAATATCAGGTAATGTGTAGTTAGTTTATAATCATGATCGCAAATTTCTTCCGAATGCAGAATCCAAGTTGAGTCTTGAAGCTCTTCATCTAAACCTGTTTGAACTACACTTTTTTCGCACTTTTCTGCCCTGTATTTCTGGCATTCATAGTTCAATATTACAACCCTTTTCCGAAATAATTACGTGCTCTTGTTACTGTGTCTGCAGGTGACCCTTGTGAAGATGGTGAATGAAGCAACTGCAAACATTCCCAATTGGGACACAGAATAAATATGGTATATGATGAAGGGTGGAGGAATAACACATGGAAAATTTATTTGGGATAGAGGAAATTTTTTATCTATCTTGACTCTAGAAAATTGATGTACAAATGCCTCAGGTCAATTGTTTTAAAGCAATAGATAGAACAGTTGAATATCATCTATAATCAACAAGAGAAAAAGGTAACAAGCAAGATAATGTGATTGAAGTGGAGTTGATAGAAATTCTGAGTTCAATTCTGTAATACATATCCAGTCTTTCTTAAATAATGGGTAGAAATGTGTAATTCTCATGCATGTTCACACTCCTTTTCTTCTAACATGAACTCTAGGTGTTTAACATTCAAGATACCAGAAAGTTCTTGGAAAGAAATTAGACCATTTTGTTGTCTAACAAGCTCTTGACACAAGTTCCGGACCTAAGGATCTCAACGAAAGCTTTCTACAACATAAACAAACATACACGAGTTTCTTCCAAAGCTTTTTTTTTTTTCCAACACTAAACTTGACATCAATTAGATAGAACATGAAAAAATAACTTTCAATATGCAACTTAAATGAATGAAAACCAACATAACTCAGTTGTCTAAAGTATTCAAATATGGCTTTTTTAAAGTTCTTTTTAAGTAGTCTGAAGACATGTAAAATTATAACATATGTACATATCTCATAAATATGTATACATACCATATCTGTATGTATATTTTAGTGATAGAAAAGATTAAATGTCTCCTTCCTTAAAATCCAACATGGTTAACTTGTGGATACTAATTACTTGCATTCTTCAGCGAGGTTAGTGAAGTTAGGTTGTTTAGTCTTGGAGTTTGGAGTACAAGAATACAAGGGGTGGAGTTGGGTGTAATGGAGCTAAGTTGATAAAGTTAGAACCTTGAGCTCAACTCACAATTCGTTGTTTTGAAATTTGACTGAAGTTTAATTAAGTTTTAATTTTTAAATTTAAACTTGACTTAAAATAAAAATTAAGTTATTTGAATTTATTCGATTATACTCATTTATAAAATTAAAAAATGAGTACAAATCTTATACTCGATTTCATATTCGATTATTTATATTTGAATTTGAATTTAAATTCATAAATATAAAAGTAAAATAACAATTTTTAATTAAAATAATAAAAAAATATATTAAAATATAAAAAATTAATTAGGCTCACGAATTATTTAAGTCAAATATTAAAATATTTAAATTTAACTCATTTTATAAGTCAAACTGTTTGAGTTTAACTCGATAATAATTGAAGTGAATTTAAATTTTATTCGAGTCAAATTTAAATAGCTTAAGCTTAGATATATCATTTTACTTATAGAGTGGAAGACTCATCCTTTTCCTTTGACACATTCTTTTCTCACCAATAGAGACAAAATTGTAAATGCATCCTAATAACAAATTTGGATTGTTGCTATTTCCATCCTAACAATTATATTTTTTCATGATGGCAGCTAATAAATATTTGTATTAGACCGCCCTTTATTGTAAGTCCCCTAATGATTAATCAATTAATTAATATCGTTGCATTATGAAAACAAAAACACGGAGTATTATAGTATCTGTTTATTTTTCAATATGTTTGACGGTTAAGCCTTTTTTTTTTTTATTTAATTACCAATATATTTTTTGTATTGAAGAAAAACCTAAAGGAAAAAAAGTATAGGTAAAGTGGTATTTTTGGGTGGGTGCGGCTAAGCTGTATTTGTAATTTTGTTTTGAGTAATAACTCTTTTTGTCTTAGAAAATATATCACAGAGAAAGTGCAGAAATTGAGAGTTAAGAGTCAAGAATCTTGATTTTTGCTTTTATTTATTAATAATTATTAAGAGTAATAATAAATTTGATAAATTTTAATATATTAAAAATAATAATTTAATTAATATGATAATTTTTTTAAAAAAATTTAGGCACTGATTAATAAAATCTTTGTTTTAATAAAGCTAAGCTATAGATGAGATTAGCATAAAATCAAGTAAAATGATGGATAATCAAGTATAATCAAGGTTAAAAATATGGATATTTGGGCTAAATTTGTGAGTTAACTATAAAGTTCAGGGGAAGTTGTTTTGCCAAACATGGCAAATTTTACCAGGTTTAGGAGATCTTTAACAAATATCTTAGAACACTTGCTTTAGGTCACTTAGCTTTTCTAGGTCATTGAGACTTCGGCCAGTTGGGCAGCCATTGAGGATCAAGTACACACCATTGCTAAAGAACCTTAGGAGACCACCACTTTGTGAATCTGATTGGAATTGGAGTTGGAAGGAGACTTGTTGATATCCCACCAAGTGCATTAGCTTTCAATCCCACAACTGGTGTTGGTGCCATTATTGATTCTGGCAATGTTGCTGTATTCTATATTAAAAAAAAAAAAAGCATTTGCCAATTTTCACTTTTACGTCCATTACTTTGTTTTTGGCAAATTAAGTACTAGTTAGTAGGCCCAACAGCAAGGACGGATTATGATTTATATTAAGTGAGGACAAAAATTTATAATACTAAATATGTATAAGTTAATTAAAATACATAAAAAAACTATTTTATTATAATAAAAATAAAATATTACAATTGTTTTCTACAACTTTTTATATTTTGAAAGTATTGTAAAATTTTTTCATTATCAATATTACAAAATATATCCTTTTCTATACATGTAACTAAACAATTATTCATCCAATAATTTTCTATTCGGTTACATAAACGGTTCTTTATAATCTTTATAGTAAAAAAGCTCTTTCAACTAATGAAGTAAATATTGGTAATATCAAAACTAATTTCACAAACAAGTATACCAATGGATATACAAAATGTTTTTTGTCTTAACAAATTTCATAGAAAGATTACTAATACTTTTCAAACTTGTAAACTCATCATGAGATCTTAAATCGACAATGTAAGTTTTAAGTTGATTATTAAGAACTAGTAACTCCACATTAAAAAATTCAACCGGATAAAAGTGAGTAAGACGAATCAACTTTTCCTTATCAAAAGCTGCAAAAGAATCACAAAGATTTAAAGAAGTTGCAAAAAGAAATAATTTTATATTCATCCCATTAAAACGATTGTTGAGCTCTTGAATTATATATCAATTACTGTATAAAATAACTCAACCTGATAATAATGTAAATTTGTCATTGTTAGAGTATTGCGTTGAGGTCTTCCACGAGCTACAAACATATCATTTATATTTGGGAAGCCAATATTGGTTTTCTCACAAAATAAAGAAACCTCTTTATGCAAAGATTCACATTCATCATCTCTCATCGTTTGTAGTCATTGCTTCGCTACTCTTATTAATATCATCGCATTCACAATATTTTGATCTTGCCTTTGTAATGCCAAAGATAATTCATTTGTAATCCTTAAGATATTTTTCATCAAATGCAAGTTGAAAGGAAAATCAAAAGATTGAGTTGAATTTAATAAGGCAAAAGCTTCACCCCTTTACTCCAAAGCTATTCTCATCCTCCACAACAATTTCAAACGCATTAATGATAGAACTAAACATAAAGATCAAATTTATCAAAGTTCCATAATGTGAACCCCATCGTGTATCCTCAGCTCATTGAAGACTTATTTCTTGGTTTAAACTTCTTCTCATAAAAGGTTCACCAACTCCTAATACCTTAATAATTTATCAAGTTGTTTTTCTTGAAGAACATCTTTTTGTTTACATGAAGCCCTGACAATATTCTCCACATTTATCATAATGTTGAAAAGTAATGCAATTTGAATATGATTCTTTGCCACAGCTACAAGTGTCAATTGAAGTTGATGAGCAAAACAATAACCATAATATGTAGATGCATTATCTTTTATAATCAAAGTTTTTTATCCATTGAATTCACCTTGTATGTTGATACTCCATTGTAACCTTGCCCAAGAATCCTTGACATACTCAAATTATGCTTAAAAATAATGCTTCAATAGCTGCTTTAAGTGCAAACGATTGTATCATTGATATGTATTATACCTAAAAAATGTTCAATAACATGCCTTTTAGAATCCACATAGCACAAAACAATAACAGTTTATTTTTTGATTGAAACATCATAAGATTCATTAAGTAAAATAGAAAATAATCAATCTCTAAGATCTTCTGTAATAATATTAATAGTTTTAATTGTTTTAGCACGAACAAGATCTTTTTGAATATCATGTACAATTATTTTTGAATTTTTTAAGTGTATTCTCCAAGACAATATTATTGATGGTTTCATTATGATTGGCAAGAAATTTAAGAAGCTTAAAAAAATTTCCTTGATTATGAGAATTCTTAGTTTCATTTCTACTACAAAATGGCAAACCTTGACATAAAAGAAAGCAAATACAATCAAGTGTCGCAATTACGTGAACTTGATAAATTTTTTTTTTTGCTTGATTGGATTGTTTTGCAAAAGCAAATTGAATATGTTGCTTTTGATTTAGTAAATCTTGACTACACTTTCAAGCTTTGTTATCAACATTATTGGGACCTCCAACATGAATAGCAAATCTTTCTTTCTTTTTTCAATTTTTGAATCCATTTGAAACAAAACAATCACCACATGCTTGCTCTCAAATATCTGTTCTATAAAGATAACAACACAAACAAAAAACGGTATCTTTCTCTATACTATATTCCAACCAATTAGCATAATTTTTGAACCATGTAGGAATAAAATGAGGTAACACCTTTCCAATTTTTCTTTGGAGAAAATTATGTTCATAAAGGTTGACATGGATCTTTTTGCAAATAAACTCTTCAAACCTTGTTTCTATCATTAGCATTATAGTCCAAATTTTTTTTTCGTAACCCAGGATCCGAAGAAAAATCATCTAAGTTTAATTCAACACAAATTTGCTCTGTACAATATTGTGTGCCACTAGTATTAATTTCAGATAATTCTTCAAAAATTGACTTTCTCTTAATAAGATATTTTCTCCATAACTAATTACATTAAATAGTTTAGTTTATGTAATTTATAAAAAATAAGAACACATATTCAAAATACAATTATGCATGTTAATGAAAATCAACTGACCCTATGTTTGAAATATATAAGTAAAAATGTAATTCACATACTATAATCATACTGCTATACAAAAAATTAGATAGAACTTTTAACTAATTTTATAATCACTATATAAAAATTAATCTTTATGAAACTTAAAGTTATTAGTTGAATGAGTAATAAGTAAAAAAATAAAGGAAAATATA